GCCTCGGATTTGGAGGCACTGAGCCTCATCCCGGCCGCTTCGCACTCGGCCGCGAACCGCTCCAGTGAGAGCTGCAGATCTTGTTCCGATGAAGCCAACAGGACCACATCATCCGCAAAAAGCAGAGATGCAACATGTTTGGGTAACAGTAATACAAAAAAGGGGGACTTTGAGCCCCGCCTGCATTCACTACATACACATGACATGACACCTAAGAACCACAGTATTCAAACCAATAAGTCAGGTGATGGGGCACATGACCCTCCATGAACAATAGAACTAATCAAGCCTATTGTTAGGCGATGACCCTCTTTTGCATGTGACTGACCTGTTTGACCACCATGTGGAGGCAGTGCTTTTAAGGCTGAGTTCACCGGAAACTAGAGATGGGACAAATGGCTCTTTGAGGGGATCCGGATCTTGGGGAGCCATTTGTTTCATAGAGCCGTTCAAAAGAGCCGTTCGATTTTGAACGTGTTACGTGATGACGTCATCCCGTCATGTGGGTGGAACCATGTGTTTGTCAAGCGGAAACCCCCCTCCCCCTTTCACCGTGAGCTTCTGCACTCTACAACTGCGCCTGTTTTCCGTGAAAAAGCAAAGCGGGAGCGATTTAAGAATGAAAAAATAAAGATTATATGAGGAATAAAAGAAATAAAACTACAAATGGCTCGTTACTGCCAGCGATTCGGCTCCTATCATTCGTTGTAAAGAGCCGTTCAAAAGATTTGGATCGTTCACGAACGTCACATCTCTACCTGAAACTCATCAGACTGAAGAAGTCTCTTGGACGAGAGACGAAACGTTTCACTAAAGAAGAACCCATCCAGAGGACCTACTTATTTTTTCTTTTTGATAACAGTAATACAATTTCAGAGGATGATTTTGAGCAGCTCTTTGCAGGACTGGATCTGCTAACTCTAAATACGGAAGAAACTCAACCTCTAGATTCACCTTTCACACTGGAAGAATACCTGAAAGCAGTGAAGACCACATGTAAGGGTTGCACACTATGTTATCCTTGTATGAGTTGACAGACTGTCGTTAAAGAGGAAAGGACGTCTCTCAGAGGCACACATTAACCTTGTGTTACTTCAAATTTAAAAAAAATTTTTTTTTCCTGAAAACGGTACAATTTATCAGTTAGGGTTCATGAGATTTGCAAATCATCGCATTCTGCTTTTGTTTTCATTTTATCCAACATCCCAACTTGTAACGAACTGGCTTGTAGTTCTGAAAAGTGGTGTTTAGGTGACCTGTTTCCTCGAGATAACTTTGGTGACTTTTTCCCAACCCACTCATCACTCAGGTCGATGTCACTGGAGTCAGAACAGTTACAGCTGTCAGCATACGAGATCATGGGATTCACACACACCTCCTCTGGAAAAACAAAAACAGAAGAAAAAATTTACACATGGGATCGATCAAGCCTCTCTTAAAAAACCTATATGAAAAAGTGACACAATTCTGATCACGTTCAGCTTTAGGTCAAGTCCAAAAATATTCAAAAATGAGAAATCAGCACAAAACTTTTTCATCTTTACTGTGACATACAGTATGTCCCAACAACTCAACTGAAAATTCTCTTGCAGAGAATAATATAAAAAAAGTCAAAAGATACAATAAGCTGGTTGCATAATGTGCACACCCTGAAAAAGCAGCTTCATATTTTCTTCAGTCCCAGAGGGAGTCTATTAGCAGCCACACCTCCACATCATCTGTTCCTTCCTGAAGTTCTAATCTGTCAGATTGAGACTTCGCTCCTGCACAGCTTTTTTCAGGTCACACTATGATTTTTTAAAATCAGATTTAGGTCCAGACTCTGATTAACACATTCTGAAACGTTAGTTTCTTTGAGGTTAAGTTGTTGTTTTGTTCATCTGGATGTTTGTTTGAGGTCATCAAGCTTTAGAAACATGGCATTCTTCTTCATCTTCAGATTCGAACAAACACATGAAGTTTTTAAACCAGGTTCCATTTGGTATCTGACGCTGTTTGTAATATTCTTCTAGTAGTACACCGAGTCTCTATAAACATTATTTTACTGTAGGATGGAAATGAGTGAAGAAAACCCTCCTTGGACATCTGGACTTTATTTCAGCGTCACTTTAATTAATGTGCTCCGGAGAAGAATGAAGACAGTAATTATTACACCAAATAAATATTAGCTTCAAGGTGTCCACACTTATGCAGTAACTTATTAGATCTGTTTGTTTTTATTTTTCCTGCAACAGTTTTGGTTTCAGTTGAGTTGTCCAGAGGCTTGTTTCACAAAAGTCAAATTTATACATTCAGGATATTGGCTGCTAGCTACACTGGAACAAACAGCCCTAATCTGTTGCTCAAATGCTCATTTAAGCCAGCTGTAAATCATCTTGAATGAATGTGAGTTCACTGTTTGCCTGTTAGACCCACTGAATGGATAACAGATTTCCTGATTACACATGCACTGCAAGACACATGCACCTCATTTCTCTCCAGTGTTGTAATGGTTAATCATGAATAATATGAAAACATGACACTGTCATTAGGAAAACGAAAGAGGCTGTCAAATTGTAGTGGACCAACTGAATACTGAAATAATTCAAAGTTCACCCCTTCTTTGTGCCTGCATTGATGCAACCTCCACACACACACACACATGCACTGGAGCTTGTTGCACTGGAGCAAGTTGAAGGCTTGTTCAAGCTCAGCTTACAGCTGATATCCTGGATTTATAAATCTGACTTTTGTGAAATGAGCCCATGGTCAGACTTTTTCTATTTACTGTTCACGAGATAAGAGAGTCTGTTTGTTCTTCAACAAGATGAGCACTACATCATCAGATCTGTCCTGTCCTCCTGTCTGAACTGTCACCTGTTTCATCTTTTGTTAATACATGGGTGAAGTGGGACTTGGTGAACTCACCTGGCTTGCCATCAGTTTTTGGATCCATGATGACAAACTCAGGCCTAAGTTTACTGATGCGCCTTCCTTTGAGAATCGGCACAAGTCCCCCTAAATATTCCAGGTACAGGGTGTAGCAGGGTCCGCCGGCCTCAGGACTGTCCTCTGCTCGCTTCATGGTGCAGTGGAGACGCTCATTCCCAGCTGTGGGATAACTGACGAAATCCCGGATATTGTTGGGGTCAGGAATCGGGGGCTAGAACAAAGAGAAGAAGTACCTGCAGGGTTTCAGGCCTTTCCAAATAATGGCTTCACTGACTGTTAAAGCAAGGAGAGTTAAGCGCTCAGTACGGTCAATTGGTAGTCAAACAGTCGACGCGCTGTTACGTGGTGGTTCTGCGTTCGTTTTCACACACCTTTCATACGCCCTGAGACACACGTGAGACACTTCTCTTGCTGCAGTTTATGTCACTGCACAGGTTTTTTTTTTCCCGTTGGAGTCTACAATACGGAAAACAAAACAAAAAAATATAAATAAAACAATTAAAATCTGCGACCTGTCACCTGACTTTATTTGTGCACATATCTGTCCCGGTTAAAGCTCCAGTTTTTAGCAGGAAGATTCATCTGTGCACAGTGTGTTTTACCTCCATCCATGTGTTTTTGACCATTTGACTATCTTTATAAATTGATTATCTTTATAACTGTCTGCTTCCAGGAAGCCTAGTAGGTTGTTTTTTAAGTGAGTGGTTAAACCAAAATGCAGCTCCCTTGTGCTTTCAGCATTAACAAACACTCCCACGAACTTCTGACCAATCACACAAGTTCTTATGTGGAGGAGTGTGGCCAGCGGGTTGTGACAAAAACGTGCCGAAGAGTCGACAATGCAAATAAAATGACGCAATTTTTGTCATGAAGCTGCGACGGTACGATTTCAGCATTTCGGCCTGAGCATACTGGGCGCTTTACACTGTCCTGGCAAGCATAAAAGCAGTCTGTCACTCAGATTTTACCTGACATCTGCTGCATAAAGAACCTTGAAGACATGTTGTACGTTCAGACTGAATACCTTGATGGTGGGTATGAAAGCAGTGGTGACATAAGAGCAGAGCAGTGACGGCATGTTCAGTTTTCCCACATCTTTCTCTTCGCGAAGAGCGCTCGCAATTCCTTGTTGGCACAAGAGTTGAAGGCTAGCCACTCTGTGCTCCACACGCACCACAAAGAGCGCTGATCCACATGCCAGGAACAGGCGAGAGTCTCTGTGACCCCAACAAATGGTGGTGATGGGCCTCTGCAACAGAGTAGCTGTCAGTGCCAACATTCATGAATTCTGGTTCTCTCACCCTTTAGTTGAGATTCATTTTCTAAAAAAAAATTCAAATATCACATTTGAAGCATCAAAGCATGGCTTCCATCCCTGAATTTAAGGCAGGACTGACCTGTGAAGGTGTTTCCAGAGTGTATATGTGCTCTCCTTGTACATTATAGAACTTAACAAGAGCATTCTTCAAGATGGAGGAGCAGGCAGACTCAGAAGGAAGTCCATGTCTCTCCATGCCGGCCACAGCCAGAAGGTCTCTCTGGGAGCACCATTGAGCCTCTACATCTGGAGAACAAATTTCCTCCATGATTACCAGTAAGAACTACAGAAACACTGTAGTTGAACTTTGTTAAAGGGATCCACGATTACTGTACTTGCAGAATTAGACTTTATTTGATAAACATTCATTTCAACTGTAAAACAAAGACCGTAAAAGTACTGTAGACTGTTTAGTTTTATAAACTTTTAAACACACGGTGCCTATGGAGAGCCGTTTTAGCCAAAATTAAATAAATAAATAAATGGKTGAAATAAATAAAAAAATGAGTAAAATAAATCAAAAAATGAAGAAAATGAGTGAAATAAATTAAAAATTTGTTAAATAAATAACTTAGCTTTTTCA